AATAGAATGTTCCAAAGATCTGAGCACCATGAGAATTGAAGAGCTGCAGAGCAGTCTAGAAGCGTAAGAGTTGCATTTGACTGAGAGATCTTCTGAAAAGGAAGTAGAGCAGCAGGCACTGAAAGTAACTTCTGATAGGAGGTATCAGAAGCAGTTAGAAGCCAGGAGAAGATCTAATGGTGGTCAGAAGTCAGAAAGCTCAACCTCTGATAGACAAAAGAATGCTCAGAAGGGAAAAGAGAAGTATGACAAGAAAATCCAATATTACTGTTGTAAGAAGTTTGGTCACTTTGCTAGAGATTGTTGGTCAAACAAGGAGAGAAAATCAGAAGAAGCAAACATAGCCAGATGTTCTGATGACGAATCTGTGCTATTGATGGCCTCTGAATCTGATGATATGGATCTGATAGACTGGTGGTATATGGACACTGGTTGTTCAAATCATCTTACTGGAAACAAGAAATGGCTGGTTGACTTTGACTCTGAAAAGAGAACAAAGATCAGATGTGCTGATGACAAATATCTTAACACGAAAGGTATGGGAAATGTCAGAGTGATTCTGAACAATGGGAAAACAACATTGATTCAAAACGTGTGGTATGTACCTGGCATCAGAAGCAATCTGATGAGTGTGGGACAATTAATTGAGAAAGGTTTTTCAGTTACCATGAAGGAAAATCTTCTAAAGCTGTATGACTGCAATCAGAAGTTGATTATGGAGTCAGAACAGGGAAGGAATAGAACATTCAAGGTGAATGTTAGAACTGCACACTCAGAATGTCTTAGTACAACAAGTGCTGAGAAGGAGAGTGAGTTGTGGCACAAAAGATTTGTTCATTTGAATTTTAGAAGCTTAAAACATCTGAATTCAAAGAAGTTGGTACATGGAATTCCTGCAATTAAGAAGCCTGAAAAGCCATGCAAAGTTTGCATGGAAGGAAAACAACCACAATTTCCATTTGCGTCAGAAGCTGCTCCAAGAGCAAAACATGCCTTGGGAGTTGTACATTCTAATGTGTGTGGTCCATTTCCAGTAACATCGATTGGATGGAATAAATACTTGGTGTTGTTTGTTAATGAATTCACAAGAATGACATGGGTATCCCTTATTAAGTTTAAACACGAGGTGTTTGATGAATTCAAGAAGTTTAGAATGAAGGCTGAGAATCAGAGTGGTCAGAAGTTGAAGATTCTTAGAACTGACGATGAAGGTGAGTATAACTCCAAAGAGTTCCAGAAGTTCTGTGAGGAAAATGGAATTGAGCATGAGGTTACTGCTCCTTATACCCCTCAACACAATGGTCTTGCTGAAAAAAGAAACCGCATTTTTCTTGATATGGTGAGAAGCATGCTAAAGGAGAAGAAGCTTCCTCAGAAGCTCTGGGGAGAAGTTGTTGCCATTGCAACGTATGTACTCAACCGATGTCCTACAAAGAAGTTGAAGGAAATAGTTCCAATACAGAAGTGGACTGGAGATAAGCAAAGTGTTAGTCATCTGAAGGTGTTTGGTTCTATTTGCTATAAACATGTTCCAGAAGCCAGAAGACAGAAGCTGGATGATAGAAGCAAAGTGATGATTCTGATAGGGTACCACATTATAGGTGCATACAAGCTCTATTGTCTAGAAACCAATAAAATTGAATTCAGCAGAGATGTGATTGTGAAGGAATCAGAAGTTTGGAATTGGGATAAGTCTCAATCTGATTCTGATGTTAGAATTTCTGAAGAAAGGTCAGAGTTAGGAATTTCTGAAGTTGGAGTAAACTCTGACGTTGACTCTGACTCTGATAGTGATTCAGACTCTGAAGAAGACTCAGAAGATGAAGGTGACTCTGATGATCCAGACTCTGATGGGAATCCAGATTCTGGTGGCAATTCAGACTCTAGAAATATGCCAGACTCTGAAGATGGTCAAAGCTCTGGAGGAAGTCAATCATCTGAAGCTAGAAACTCTGAAGCTCAAGACTCTGAACAAGTTCAGAGACCACAAAGAATAAGAAATGTCCCCAGAAGATATGCAGAATTTGACATGCTGCAAGACACTGAAGTAAACTCTGAAGGAGAAGTTATTCAGTGTGCCATGATAGTAGACTCTGAACCCATAATCACAGAAGAGGCTCTTAAGTAGAAGCTCTGGCTGAAGGCCATGAAAGAAGAACTTGATGCTATAGAGAGAAACAAGACTTGGAAGCTGACAGAACTTCCAAAAGACAAGAAAGCCATCGGCGTCAGATGGGTTTTCAAGCAGAAGTTAAAGCCAGATGGTTTAATTGGCAAACATAAAGCAAGGTTGGTAGCTAGAGGATTTCTACAAAAACCTGGGCTGGTTTATTCTGAAGTATTTGCACCTGTAGCAAGACATGAAACAATCAGAATGGTGATTGCAATAGCTGCTAACAGGAATTGGCCTCTGATGTATTTAGATGTAAAATCTGCATTTCTGAACGGTCCATTAGAAGAAGAAGTTTACGTGTCATAACCTCCTGGATTTGTGAAAAAGAATCAGGAAGGGATGGTGTACATATTATACAAAGCTTTATATGGACTGAAACAAGCGCCCAGAGCTTGGAATCAGAAGATTGATTCATTTTTCAAGAAGTAAGGCTTTCAGAAATGTGAGATGGAGTACGGTGTTTATGTTCAGCATACTTCTGAAGGCAATATGACTCTGGTGTGTTTATATGTTGATGACATACTGCTGACTGGAAGTTCTGAACAAGAGATAGCCAAGTTCAAGAAAGTTCTGATGAATGAATTCGAAATGACTGATCTAGGCAAAATGACATACTTTTTAGGGATGGAGTTCAGATATTCTGAGAAAGGTATCATTTTGCATCAGCTCAAGTATGAATTAGAACTTCTGAAGAGATTTGAACTGAAGAATTGTAAGATTGTTGTCACACCTTCTGATACAAATCAGAAACTGGATTCTGACTCTGATGGAAAGGATGTGGACGCTACAACCTTCAAACAGTTGGTTGGTTCTCTGAGGTATCTGTGCAATACCAGACCTGATATTTGTTATTCTGTTGGGATGGTTAGTAGGTTCATGAGTAAACCTAAGTGGTCCCATTACCAAACTATTGTCAGGATTCTGAGGTATATCAAGGGAACTCTGAAGTATGGGGTGTTATTTCCTTCTGGAAGAAAGAATGAGTCAGAACTTCTGAGTTATTCAGATTCTGATTGGTGTGGAGACAAAGTTGACAGAAGAAGTACCTCTGGGTACTTGTTCAAATTTCTGGGAGGTCCCATTTCTTGGTGTTTCAAGAAGCAGCCTTTTGTGGCGTTATCAACCTGTGAAGCTGAATACATTGCAGGTGCTGTTACTGCATGCCAAGCTGTGTGGATTTTGAATCTGTTGCAGGATCTGAAGATTAAAATAAACAAACCTCTGAAGCTGATGATTGACAACAAGTCTGCAATCAATCTTGTCAGAAACCCAGTGTTGCATGGGAGAAGCAAGCATATTGAGACCAAGTATCATTTTCTGAGACATCAAGTTCAGAGTGGAGTGTTAGAAGTTGTACACTGCAGCACTCAGAAACAGTTGGCAGATGCTCTAACGAAAGCTATCAAGACTGATCAATTTCTCAGACTAAGGGATGAAATTGGTGTTACAAGTTTTGATGGAATATGAATTAAGGGATGGTATTAGAAGTAATTTATATTTAGTTGTACTATTACTTAGCCCCTAAGTTTGTTAGAGGGTATTTTAGTATTTTATCTTATTCTAGTAACCCTAGTTTTAGCTTATAAATAGGGTTGCAATCATTGTAATGTTTAGTGAGTTGTGTAGTCGTCATTCTCTTTAATAGAATATTTCCTCTGTTAATCATTTATTCACCTTTGCACCATCAAATATCATGAAGAACAAACGTATTACACAGAGAATAACTTATTTGCAAGTTATGAAACAACCTGAAAATCATTGTTGAAGATGAAATATCATAAACTTACGTATTTGTCGACGACAACCATCTCAAAATGTTCTTTCGTGTTAGAGACTACATTTCATCTATGATGAACTTTGACTGCGATCTTCCAAATCTCCTTTGTGTCGTTAATGTCTTTGACGTTCTCAAATGACCTTGTCATGTATTCCGAATTTGGTTGAACAAATGAACAAAAGTTGAGAAATGAGAGAATAACCAAAGTTGAAAAATCTAAAAAGAATGAGATTGAAGATTTGCTCTGCATAGAAGCAACGTGAAGATGATCAACTTTGATATAATGTTTGCTTTTTGAAAATACTATAACTATGAAGTGATATTTTGGTTGGAAAATTTTTGAAATCAACACAATTGGTCATTTAGTGGTACAAATGCAATGCATCAATGGTTCCAAATCAACTAAAAAACCTACTTCAGACCATTGACCGATATATCCTCCAAACAGTAGCATTGGACCAATAAAAGAAATGGTAAATTTGACTTTTCCAAAATATACTTTCTTATATGGTAAATTTACATTTTCTTTAAAAGAGTTTTCAAAATTATATTATTTTCAAAAATATTTTGCAAATCTTTGATTACAAAAAGATTTTAAAAGTCCATTTCAAATTCATATTTCTTGTACTTTTCACTTCATTCCTCATATTGAAAGTAACATTCATTTTATTTTTCTATTTTTATTTTCATCCTGCCGAATTTGGGCTGTTTCATTCATTTCAGCTGCCGGATTCCACGTATGCAGCAACCTCTCAATACAATGAAAGTTCAAACCAACTTACCTTGTAAATTCCGTAACTACTAGTATTATTTTATTATCATTCTTAATTACTAATTCATATATTACTTGTCTCAATTCTCCAACAACTTCCACACATAAATTGAATAATTAATCAGTCAATGTCACACATTGACATGGTCTTATTCAACAACTATTCTTAATTCATTCCAAGCCTCCTCAAACATTATGCTTATAAATATACCTGCTAAATTATTGTACACATAACATAACACAAACTCCACCATAAAATCTATCTCTATATAAAAGTTATGAATCCTCCTCCAACTTCACAATTGCATTATGCACAACCACCTTATCCACCACCAGCCACCGGTATCCCCGTGCACGACGGCCACCACCATAAAACAGGCCCCCAGGAATGGTCCACCGGTCTATGGGACTGCTTCTCCGACTGCCAAACCTGTAAGTAATTATATTTAATTGCACCCTCCATTATTCTAATAGTTATTACTTTTTATTTATTTTTTATTTTCTACATTTTTAGGTTGCGTAACTTATTGGTGTCCATGCATCACTTTTGGCAGAATTGCTGAGATTGTTGACAAAGGAACAACTTGTAAGATATTAAATTATACACATACATTAATTAATTAGTTATCAATTAATTAATAAATATTAAACATATATTAATAATTATTATATTGTTTGAATGATTGTATTAATGCAGCTTGTCTTGTAAGTGGATCACTGTATACACTTATATGTTGTTTAACTGGTTGTGGATGTATATATTCATGCATCTATCGTAATAAGATGAGACAACAATACATGCTCAAAGACGCACCTTGTTGCGATTGCTTAGTTCATTGGTGTTGTGAATCATGTGCACTGTGTCAAGAATATCGTGAGCTTCAAAACCGTGGATTCGACATGCAACTTGGTATATATATATATACACAAAATCATTTTTTAATTATCTTAATTTTTTTTTGTTTTAGTTGAACCTATCTAATTATAATTAATTTGAAATTGGTGATTAGGGTGGCATGGAAATGTTGCGCAAGGAAGTAGAGGAGTAGTCATGGCACCAACAGCTCCTGGAGTTGAATACATGACTCGTTAAAATTAGGATGCATGTTTATTCATATACTTGAATAGCATAAGATATTTTAAATTCTGGAATTAATTTGATGAGTAATTTGAATTTTTTTTTTTAGTTTTTTGTAATTGGCTATTCAATTAATAAAGAAAGTATTGTATGATCTTATATATATGAGGTGTGCTATGTTTACACCTTTTTCCATACACTATGTATGTTACACCGTATATACCAACAAATTATACTGGTTTTGCACAAAAATCAAGGTGAACAAATTATTAAAAAATAAAATTAGTATGTATTATGTATAAAATTAGGTGTAGGTGTTATAAAGTAGTGTCAAAATATCTTTTCCCTATATATATATATTCGTTTAGAAGTAGTCAATTGTTTTGTTATTTATGTCCATAATATATAGCATAGAGTTTTTACTAGTTGCATGCTTGCAAACATAAAAGGTCAATATATATTTAATGATATATATATAATACAACTATATGTGTTTGATTTTTCTTTTTGACAATAGTATAACTAAATCTTTGATTTTTCTTTTTTGACAATAGTATTAACTATATGTTTGATGATTCATATTCATAACTAAACAAAATTGTTGTGCCAACCAAACTAATATTATTCAGAGTTATTTATTGAAGTTTCGTAAATCCACGTGTTTTCTCTTACCAAATAAATTAAATAAGTGTTTGATAAATAAATAATACATCAATTATATTCTTCATTTTAATTATTTTATTTACAATTATATTCCTTTAAATTTTTTTATCCTTCATTAGGATATGATAAAGAATCAAAAGGTGTATTAGGGTACACCAACCCATCTATAAGGATCATTGTCGTCCCCAACACATCAGCACAAAAACAACTATCTACAAATCACTCATATTATAAAAAATCAGTAGGAGATTTGAACTAATTATAATAACTACATGTTACTTTTTTATGAGAGCAAAAATCTAATCACCATTAAGAAGTATGTATCACCCTAAGTATAATATCGTCTGAATTTCCATTATATCATTGAATATCACTTGATTACGAGTCCATCAAATTGACCAGCAAGTAGTAATCCAAATAATACACGCAATTGTCTTAGAGTTTCTTCTCACCAATTTCAGGAACTATTCTAGCATGTGTACACAAACATTGTCTCCTACAATTCATGTTATCCCCACCCAATCTACAATCTTCCTCCAAATCATATGAGTACATGGACACAAGCAAAATAGATGATTATTGATTATCACCTATACTCTTCCCAACACCCGAAGATCAATATCCTTACTTCTTTCTCTTTTCATGTTAACCATGTCAGATTTATCTAATATTTTGTAGGTTGTAGTTAATTGTTATTTTATTTTGTGAAAAGCTTATCAATCATGATTTTGTCGGCCAGAAATCTATAAGTAGGCTCATTTATTTGTTAAGTGATCTTTTTAATTAAAGTTTGAATATCTAAATCCTGATTGGTGTGGAAAAAGTGTGAGCTTAGCCCTTGGCACATAATAAGTAGGGACTACGGTTATATATTATGTGGCTAGTTCCCTCTATAATCACTAAATCAGAAACAAAATTGACGTCTCCATAGTTTTTTCCATTGAGAGTTGCGAACGAGAGTGTGAGATACGGAGAAAGACCAAATCACGCATCATTTCAGGAGTCTGAATCAAGGTAATAAGAATGTTAACTCTTATTCTCAAATCATGTCTTCAACAAGTAAGTGTGATGTTCTAATAAAACATGCAAACTTGGACCATATGCTAAACATCTCAACCTTTCTGTTATTGAAGCGGGATCAGAATAAAACTTTGAAAAAATATGCTCCTTGAACCATGTTATAAAACTTCGATTGTGCTCACGTACTATCCAATTTTTATTTCTATTCAGATTTAAACCTCGGATAACGTCCTTGTGCATTTCAACATACGGCTCAACCTCAATGTCATTGTGCAGAACATACAAATGCACTTCCTCCCGTTCATCCCTTGAAACTGTCACAACTTTATTTCCAATTAACTGTTTACCATCTATTTTTTCAACAACATGAGATTTTGGGAGGCCAATGGATTGAACGTTGGACAAATATTCAGTACAAAACTCAATAGCTTCTTCAACAATGTATCGTTCAACAATACATCCCTCTGGTCGACTTCGGTTTTTCACATACCCTTTCAATATTTTCATATAACGTTCAACAGGGTACATCCATCTCATATAGGCAGGTCCACACAGTTGTGTCTCTTTCACAAGATGAACAACTAGATGTACCATTATGTCAAAAAATGATGAAGGAAAATACATTTCAAGCTCGCACAAAGTAATAACTATTTCTCTTTGCAATGTTGGTAAGATCGCAGGATCTATCACCTTACTACAGATTGACCTAAAGAAAAAACACAATTTAGTTATTGCGCCTCTCACTTTTTCTGGCAAAATAGAACGTATACCTATTGGTAGAAAGTGTTCCATTATAACATGGCAATCATGTGTCTTTAAACTTTTTAACTTGAGGTCTTTCATAGAAACAAGTCTTCTAATATCTGAAGAGTATCCTTCTGGAACTTTAACTTCACTCAGAAACTTACACAGTATCTTTTTCTCCTTTCTAGATAAAGTATAAGCAGCAGGTGGTAGATATGTGCGGTTTCCTTTCTTCGAGGGTCCTAATTCATTTCTTATTCCCATTGCTACCAAGTCCTTTCTTGCTTTAAGGCCATCCTTAGACTTTCCTTGTATATTGAGTAACGTACCAATAACACTTTCAAATACATTTTTTTCAATATGCATAACATCAAGAAAATGTCTTACATACAACGACTTCCAATACGGCAACTCAAACAAAATTGACCTCTTCTTCCACCCACGCGTGACAAGCGTATGAGCAAAAGGCTTGCCAAACTTAGTACTCACATCTTTCACCTTTTCAAAAATTTGTTCGCCGGTCAATGTAGGTGGAGCTTTACGTTGTTCTGAATTTCCATTGAATGCTTTTCTCCACCCACGATAGTGATGACTAGAATTTGAGAATCTACGATGACCAAGAAAGACATTCATCTGACCAAATTCCAACCGCGTCCAATCTGTGTTTTCTTCACAGATAGGACACGCACATTGACCTTTAATGCTATACCCCGATAGATTTCCGTATGCTGGGAAATCATTAATTGTGCCAAACAACATCGCCCTCAAATTGAAACTTTCTTTCCTATATCCATCATAAACCTCCACACCGTTCTCCCACAAACTCTTTAAGTCTTCGATTAGAGGTGTCAGGTATACGTCTATGTTATTCCCTGGTTGTTTAGGGCCAAAAATTAACATAGATAACATCATGTACTTACGCTTCATACATAGCCATGGAGGTAGGTTATAAATCATAATAATTACAGGCCAGGTGGAATGTGAGATACTCTGCAGACCATGCGGATTCATTCCATCAGTCGATAATGCCAAGCGAAGGTTTCTAGCTTCTTCTCCAAAATCAGGATAATCATTATCAATTTTCATCCACTGTGGTGAATCTGCCGGATGTCGATACTTCCCATCTACAATTCTATCATTTGCATGCCAAGTCAGGTGTTTTGCATCTGTTTCACTACGAAACATGCATCTGAATCTCAGAATTATAGGAAAATACCATAATACTTTTGTTGGTGACAATTTTTTCTTATACCGAGATACACCGCATTTAGGACACTCGTTTAATGATGCATATTCATTTCGAAACAAAATTCAATCATTTGAACAAGCATGTATCTTATCATAGCTCATGCCAATAGAGCATAACATTTTTTTAGCTTCATAGGTTCGATTGGGAAGAACATTATCCTCCGGAAGCATCTCTTGAAGTAGGGCTAACAACTCTGTGAAACTTTTATCTGACCATCCATTACCCGCCTTTAAATTGTACAACTTTAATACCGCGGACAATCTTGTGAAAGTAGTGCAACCTTTATACAACGGTTTCTCTGCATTGCTTACCAACCTCTCAAACATCTTGGGACAATCTTGAAGATCTTCTTCAAGTGCTTCTGCAATCTCTTCGACTCGATCACAATCATATGTATCCCTGCCATTGTCCTTTGAAGCACATGTCGTATTATTCCAGGGTTCAACATTCTCGTTACTTATCTCACCATGTAATGTCTAACATGTGTAACTTCGATCAATTCCATGTCTCATTAAATGAGATTCCAACTGAACGGCGTCAACTCGACGCCCATAACAACATCCTAAGCAAGGACATGTGATCCTACTGGGGTCTTTGGCGTGTTCAACAGCAAACTTAACGAACTTTGATACCCCATTCTCGTACTCTTTTGACAATCGATTACCAGACATCCATTTTTTATCCATACTAATTGAGTAATTTACACTAAACTATAAAAGTTAAACAAAACAGAGAATACCTGTAAGGAAATCACTAACTTCTAAGAATGCTACGCAATAGGATGCTTGGAAACGATCACAGCTTTACTCTTCACAGGTAACCCCTATAGCAGACAAAATATAAATTTTATTAAAATCATATTAATAATTAACCAAGACAAATCATATTAAAAATACTAGATAATCCACCAAAACAAATCATATTAAAATTACTAGATAATCCTTAAACCAAAATGACACCCTTACTAAACATTGAGAAATCCTAACTAAACATATAAAACCATAATAACATATAAAATCATATCATATAAAACCATATTCATGTTGGTTTTATAAACTCTCTTATCCATATAAAACTCTCTTAAAAAATATAAACTCTCTTAAAAACTCTCTTATACATATAAAACTCTCTTAAAAAATATATGTATAAACTCTCTTATCCATATAAAACTCTATTAAAAAATATAAAACTCTCTTAAAAACTCTCTTATACATATAAAACTCTCTTATCCATATAAAACTCTCTTAAAAAATATAAACTCTCTTAAAAACTCTCTTATACATATAAAACTCTCTTAAAAACTCTCTTATAAACTCTCTTATAAACATTGCATTTTCAT